TGGCTCAAAACACAGTACTCAGACAATCAATTTTTGTATTGTCATCAATTGATTTTCCATTTACAAGTAACAGCCAAACTGAACGTTAGGAATGTCAACATTTGCTTTTGCTGCAATGTCAAAATAAGTGCATCTGGGATTAGTGTGCTATAATATTGTTAAAGGGCATGTACAACATTTGCTTTTGCTGCAATAATCAAATAAATGGATTTGGAGATTAGTATGTTTTAGCAAATATGTTAAAATGACTGTTTCACGTTTTGGCTTGTAGATGTTCAAGCATTCATGTTCTTGTAGCTGGTTCACAGACCCCATGCGAATAGACTTTGGGGATTGTAAGATCAGAGAGCAGTCTAGTAGGCTTGTACCCTTCAAAGGTGTGTAACAATTGCACAGAAAACACAGAATAACTAATTATGAAAATTAGGAGTAGTTTTAAAAAACAGTTTCTCCATTGCTGGTCGGCCGACCAGCGTTGGAAAAATACCATTTTTTTTTTTTAAATGTCAGCACACCAGGAGCCACGATTTTACAGGATGCTTTAGGCTGTCATTCCCTAAAGTGAAAAAAATCATCCGGTCGAACCCATGACCTCCTGCTTTCTAGTGCAGATGTCTTACCACTGACCACCGAGCTAACGGGATCAGTTGGCTGGTTCGAATCTGATGTACATAGCAGGGTACTACATTAACTATTCATAAGATGGTAAGACATCTGCAATAGAAAGCAGGAGGTCGTGGGTTCGAGTCCCACCGGAGTGATTTTTTTCCAACTTTCACTCGGGAGGAAACACACTGAGAATACAGTGTTTATACATCGGTGATGGACAAAACCTAATTTGGTTTTATTAGTCAATTGACTCATGTAATTTCAGCAAGCACACACTGCATATGCCTCCATGTTATTTTGGCAAGATGTGTTGCCAATATACAGTGTGGAAAGACTGTGGTTTCTAAAATAACTAAGATCAAAGTGCTTTACATTATTATTACCCCTGATCATTGGGCCAATGAAACATTGCAAATACAATCTCAGCTTCCTGTGGAATATGGATTTTTATTCACGAGGAAGTCATTTTAGTCATGTTCCCTGACAGTATTTTATAAACTATTGAATAGGATGGTGCCAGACTATTTTTGCATTCTAGCCTCACTTTCAATTTTTATTTTAAATGTGGCTTAAAAACATTAGGGTATGTTTAACAACAAATTTAAATTTTCATTAAAGCAGACTGGTATTAATTTGTAATTAATTTTATGTCACTGCTTTAATTTCTCTTTGCAAGTTCCAAATATGAAGATTTTACCTCGCTTTCAATTTAATATAGTCGACTCCTGAATAAAGCCCATACAGCTCGGTGTAGTCATTTCGACGCAAGGTAGCTAAAATCAATCACAATTGCGATCTCTGTTCTCACAGGTACCCATTTACTCCTGGGTGGGGCGAAGCAATGAGTGACAAAGTGTCTTGCCAAAGGGAACATGCACCATAACCCCAGGCTGGACTCGAACCCACAACCTGTAGAATTACCCGCAGACAACGAGTTCAATGCTCCAGACCATGAGGCCAGGGCACTCCACATATTTAGAAATGTTTTGCCAATTCATGCAACAACACAAACACCAGGTAATATAATCTATTTGAAACCCCTGCCCGTTGTCCAAACTGCACACATGTGCATTTATCTTTATTGGTACCTTCAAGGATGTAACTGGGGTCCAAGTTGCTGGAGGGCCCTAAAGGGACCTCAGTTTCTAGTAGGAGGCAGTCTTTGAGCAGAGGGGTCCATGCCCCTCATCCTCCTCCCCTATCATTAGCTATGCCACTGGGCACCTTTGTCAAGTTCATTTAAGATTATAAGGAATCAATGAAGGGAGTTCCTACTTTTCATTGAGGGAGTGAATCTTGGAGCGATCTCTCTCAATCACAGTCTGCATCTCTTCCATCCTGACCCTACGATCCTCCAGCAAGGCTTCCGTCTGCTCTCTAGATAGCTCAGCTTGTTCCTTCATCTGAGATTGTAGAGCTTCAATCTGTAGCAACAGACTCTCTGGCTCTGCCTGCTGCTGGTCTGAATCAGGATGGACAGCTTTGGGCTGGGCGCTGTTGGACTGAAATGAGGATTGGAAAATATTGATGGATGGTAACAGGATCAACCTGCTGGTACAGACTCGGACAAAAGAAACCACCCTTTTGGAGATGATCTGATCAATTATCGTGATTGAAGCAACTTTACTGGGATAACGTATGTAACTAAACTCACTTCTCAGGGGAGTAACTACAGGTAATTTCATCAGCTGATCAAGGAATTATCAACACACCTACCAAAAGCTGCAACAGATATATATATTTACTATTAATACTATGAAAGTAAGTAAAGTCTGTCATTAGCCAATACATCTCCGGTTTCAAAGGCATGAAACGACCGAGGATATTTTTTTATCCCCCCTGGATAGGATGCCAGTCCATTGCAGGTTACTTCCCAGCTAATATCGGTACCTATTTATACTCCTGGGTGGAGAGAGGCAAGTGGGGGTGAAGTGGCTTGCCCAAGGACACACATATACCGGCAACTAGATTCGGACCCTGACCCTCTGATCATGAGTCACAAACCTTAACCATATTAATGCTTAAAAAAAAATTAAAATCCCATAGACCTTATAAATAGTTAATGCGATGCCCGCTGCCATGTACCAATACATCAGATTCGAGCCAGCCAACCGATCCCATTAGCTCAGTGGTCAAGTGGTAAAACATCTGCACTAGAAAGCAGGAGGTTGTGGGTTCGAGTCCCAACGAGTGATTTTTTCCAACTTTTACTCAGGAGGTAACACACTGAGTATTCAGTGTTTATACATCAATGAAGGGCAAAACCTGATTTGACATACATTGTATTAATACTATGATCCACTAGTTTATCTGACCAACAAATACTAAAAATGGGCCTGATATGGTTGGTATGAGATCTGAGGAGTGTTGGCTTTGCAATGTTTTATCAACCACCCTTTGCCTCAACCATACCGGTATGTAATCTCTACCTACCTTTTGTGTTAGCAGTAACTCTGTGTTGTGCATTCCTCCGTGTTCTGTTGTTCTGTGGTCTGCTTGGCACTTCGGCTTTAAACCCAATATTTCACCCTCTGGAAAAAAAAAACCAGACATTGCTGGTCGGCCGACCAGCGTTGGAAAAATACCATTTTTTTTTTAAAATGTCGCACACCAGGAGCCACGATTTACAGGATGCTTTAGGCTGTCATTCCCTAAAGTTGAAAAAAATCACTCCGGTCGAACCCATGACCTCCTGCTTTCTAGTGCAGATGTCTTACCACTTGACCACCGAGCTAACGGGATCAGTTGCTGGTTCGAATCTGATGTACATAGCAGCGGGTACTACATTAACTTCATAAGATGGTAAGACATCTGCAATAGAAAGCAGGAGGTCGTGGGTTCGAGTCCCACCGGAGTGATTTTTTTCCAACTTTCACTCGGGAGGAAACACACTGAGAATACAGTGTTTATACATCGGTGATGGACAAAACCTAATTTGGTTTTATTAGTCAATTGACTCATGTAATTTCAGCAAGCACACACTGCATATGCCTCCATGTTATTTTGGCAAGATGTGTTGCCAATATACTAGTGTGGAAAGACTGTGGTTTCTAAAATAACTAAGATCAAAGTGCTTTACATTATTATTACCCCTGATCATGGGCCAATGAAACATTGCAAATACAATCTCAGCTTCCTGTGGAATATGGATTTTTATTCACGAGGAAGTCATTTTAGTCATGTTCCCTGACAGTATTTTATAAACTATTGAATAGGATGGTGCCAGACTATTTTGCATTCTAGCCTCACTTTCAATTTTTATTTTAAATGTGGCTTAAAAACATTAGGGTATGTTTAACAACAAATTTAAATTTTCATTAAAGCAGACTGGTATTAATTTGTAATTAATTTTATGTCACTGCTTTAATTTCTCTTTGCAAGTTCCAAATATGAAGATTTTACCTCGCTTTCAATTAATATAGTCGACTCCTGAATAAAGCCCATACAGCTCGGTGTAGTCATTTCGACGCAAGGTAGCTAAAATCAATCACAATTGCGATCTCTGTTCTCACAGGTACCCATTTACTCTGGGTGGGGCGAAGCAATGAGTGACAAAGTGTCTTGCCAAAGGGAACATGCACCATAACCCCAGGCTGGACTCGAACCCACAACCTGTAGAATTACCCGCAGACAACGAGTTCAATGCTCCAGACCATGAGGCCAGGGCACTCCACATATTAGAAATGTTTTGCCAATTCATGCAACAACACAAACACCAGTAATATAATCTATTTGAAACCCCTGCCCGTTGTCCAAACTGCACACATGTGCATTTATCTTTATTGGTACCTTCAAGGATGTAACTGGGGTCCAAGTTGCTGGAGGGCCCTAAAGGGACCTCAGTTTCTAGTAGGAGGCAGTCTTTGAGCAGAGGGGTCCATGCCCCTCATCCTCCTCCCCTATCATTAGCTATGCCACTGGGCACCTTTGTCAAGTTCATTTAAGATTATAAGGAATCAATGAAGGGAGTTCCTACTTTTCATTGAGGGAGTGAATCTTGGAGCGATCTCTCTCAATCACAGTCTGCATCTCTTCCATCCTGACCCTACGATCCTCCAGCAAGGCTTCCGTCCGCTCTCTAGATAGCTCAGCTTGTTCCTTCATCTGAGATTGTAGAGCTTCAATCTGTAGCAACAGACTCTCTGGCTCTGCCTGCTGCTGGTCTGAATCAGGATGGACAGCTTGGGCTGGGCGCTGTTGGACTGAAATGAGGATTGGAAAATATTGATGGATGGTAACAGGATCAACCTGCTGGTACAGACTCGGACAAAAGAAACCACCATTTTGGAGATGATCTGATCAATTATCGTGATTGAAGCAACTTTACTGGGATAACGTATGTAATAATCTTGGAAAGTTCATGGTATGATGAGGCGGCTTTTTTGCCAAACTCACTTCTCAGGGAGTAACTACAGGTAATTTCATCAGCTGATCAAGGAATTATCAACACACCTACCAAAAGCTGCAACAGATATATATATTTACTATTAATACTATGAAAGTAAGTAAAGTCTGTCATTAGCCAATACATCTCCGGTTTCAAAGGCATGAAACGACGAGGATATTTTTTTATCCCCCTGGATAGGATGCCAGTCCATTGCAGGTTACTTCCCAGCTAATATCGGTACCTATTTATACTCCTGGGTGGAGAGAGCAGGGTGTGGGTGAGTGGCTTGCCCAAGGACACACATATAACCGGCAACTAGATTCGGACCCCTGACCCTCTGATCATGAGTCACAAACCTAACCATATTAATGCTTAAAAAAAATTAAAATCCCATAGACCTTATAAATAGTTAATGCGATGCCCGCTGCCATGTACCAAACATCAGATTCGAGCCAGCCACCGATCCCATTAGCTCAGTGGTCAAGTGGTAAAACATCTGCACTAGAAAGCAGGGGTTGTGGGTTCGAGTCCAAACGAGTGATTTTTTCCAACTTTACTCAGGAGGTAACACACTGAGTATTCAGTGTTTATACATCAATGAAGGGCAAAACCTGATTTGACATACATTGTATAATACTATGATCCACTAGTTTATCTGACCCACAAATACTAAAAATGGGCCTGATATGGTTGGTATGAGATCTGAGGAGTGTTGGCTTTGCAATGTTTTATCAACCACCCTTTGCCTCAACCATACCGGTATGTAATCTCTACCTACCTTTTGTGTTAGCAGTAACTCTGTGTTGTGCATTCCTCCGTGTTCTGTTGTTCTGTGGTCTGCTTGGCACTCTGGCTTTTAACCCCAATATTTCACCCTCTGGAAAAAAAACCAGACAGGCAAGTAAGAAGAAAACATGAGACGTCTTGGAAATTACAGGTTACACCTTCATATACCTTTGAAATCTGATGGACAGTGTGTGCAGATATATAATTGTTTGCCAGAATAAAATGCAATGTTCAAAGTTGGGTCAAAAGTCTTCTAATGCCCGACTGTAATTCATTGTAATAAACCAGTTCTGTATTTCAATGACCTGAGGTCATTTGGGATAACATTGCTGACACGATGTTAGGCGATGTTACGCGCACGACCACTCTGGTGGTAATTTACACACAAGCGTCGCGCACCCGCATTCATGCGCCTTTGATCGTTCTACTATCCCGAATGACGGTGACCCATATCGTTGTGCACATAAGCAGTTGAAATACCGAACTGGCTTATCCATGGCATTCCTTGAGTTGTTTGCTTGTTTGGAAAAGATGAGACATTTAGGACAACTTGAAGAACTGTTGACACTTAAAATACCCAAACAAGGGAACTTGACTAGGTTTACTCTTAATAATGTTTAAATGGGGGCAGTCCGCAGTGTCAGACGTACATTTTGGGCAATTCAACAGTGTATGTAATTGTAGTTATAATCACGGGGTAGATTTTAATTCTGATAAAACATATCAGTTAGTCACTAGTTACTTTGATGAGTCAAGAAGAAATTATTCATCCAACTTTGTTGCTGTAGTAGAAATTGGCTCAAAACACCGGACGTACTCAGACAAATCAATTTTTTGTATTGTCATCAATTGATTTTCCATTACAAGTAACAGCCAAACTGTTGAACTTGTTAGGGAATGTACAACATTTGCTTTGCTGCAATGTTCAAAATAAGTGCATCTGGGGGATTAGTGTGCTATAAAAAATATTGTTAAAGGGCATGTACAACATTTGCTTTTGCTGCAATAATCAGAAATAAATGGATTTGGAGGATTAGTATGTTTTAGCAAATATTGTTAAAATGACGTTTTGGGCTTGTAGATGTTGGAAAAACCAAGAAAACCATTCATGTTCTTGTAGTCTGGTTCACAGACCCCATTTAAGATGAAACGGAGAATTTATAGACTTTGGGGGATTGTAAGATCAGAGAGGCAGTCTAGTAGGCTTGTACCCTTCAAAGGTGTGTAATCAATTGCACAGAAAACACAGAATAACTAATTATGAAAAATTAGGAGTAGTTTTAAAAAAAAAACAGTTTTCTCCATTGCTGGTCGGCCGACCAGCGTTGGAAAAATACCATTTTTTTTTTTAAATGTCAGCACACCAGGAGCCACGATTTTACAGGATGCTTTAGGCTGTCATTCCCTAACAATCCACTAAGGTATTTAGTGATACTTTGTTCATATCGTTTTGTAATATTTGCCAATGTTGTATCTTCCCTTTAAACTGACCTATTTCACGTTTTGGGTTCGGAAATGCCAGAAAATCTAAGAAATCCAACCATGTTCTTGTGGTCTGGTGACATGAGACGTAAGATGAGACGTAGCACTTTGTACACTTTGAGGAAGTTAGGTCAGAGAATCAGTCTAGCAGGCTTGTACCCCTACACAGATGCGTAATTGATGCAAAGAAAGAAATGCGGAATGACTAAATATGAATTTACAGGATGCTTTAGACTGTCATTCACTGACAGTCCAGTAATATATTTCGTCATAATTTGATCATTTCGTTTTTTGATGTTTGCAATGATGTTGTATCTTCCCTTTTAAATAAACTACATGTCAATAAAATACAGATAATATGCTTCAAATTGATATGTATATTTCTTTTGTGGCATTTTGGCCATTAAGAATTGTTGGCATTCAGGTTTATAATTCTGTAGAATTGCCCATGGATGGGCGAGGGAATTGATTAACAAATTTTGGCCAAGGACATTGACAAATATGAGTCTGCAGCCCCGTTGGTAGAGTTGCCAGTGCGGTGTTACACACTGACCTGCATGTGGATGTCTCTTTTGTGGGTGTTTCTGTGTGACAATTGCCCGCGTTGATGGTTCTTTGTGGAAGTATGTCACTTCAGGACCTGATGGGCTTGATAATGATAACAGATGCTGGATTCTGTCAAGTACAAATCAAATCATTGGAAAAGTTCAAGTTAGTACACCTTTGGTAAATCCAAACTAACAGGGTTTGTTTACTTCCATATCACATTATACGTGTAACTGATTGTACATGTGGGGTATTAAAGCAGCACCAACATTCATACATGTTCATGAATGCATCATCTCTAAACATACTTTTGCACTAGTGTGGAACAAATTGCAATTGCTTAGTCTAGACAAGGGTTGTGCAAAATATACCGAATATCCAAATATTTGATCATCCACCGAATATCCGAATAGCATTTTATCAAATTGAATTGTTTTTTTAATGTGAGCAATGACAAAAAAACGTCCATGATGTGATTTTATGAGTTTAAGTTGAGAGATTTGATTTGTTTAGTCAAACGCCACACTTTACGCAGATGGTTTGAGAGTTTTCATGAGGAATGTAAGCCCTAATGTGGATCTTCAATATCTGCCAAATGCCAGGTTGTCAGCTAGCTCAAAATCTATATCGATACATTCCAAATTATTTCAATGTCATTGGATGATTTTTTTGTTCAAATTCAAGTTCCAATATTCAAAGACTAAATTATTGGAAAAATGCACAACATTAATAGAGACCTGTTTTGTGAAGCACACCTAGAGAGAACTTGAAGCTCTACCCAGCCCTGCAAACAATGACCTGTACTCTGCCCGCAAGGTTGTCAGTCCGTCATTGCCAATCAAAGAATCCTCCCCAACAGTCACCATCCATCTGCACAACATACAGATTACAGGTACAATGTATATATACATGTACATGGATTCAATTCAGCCTCAGGACAGGCAGTAGCACTGCTATTGTGACAAGGTTTTTGCAGTCGCTTTGCCAACCAACCTCTTTGTCGACAACCACTTCAACGATTTGCTACTTCACCGAATAACCACTTCGCCTACTTGCCACTCCGTCGAATTACCACTCCGCGAATGACCACTTCGCCGAATTGCACGCAAACGCACGTACTAACAAGTTTGTTATGGTGTAAATCAAGGATTTTCTAATGTTTCTCTTCCCTTTCCTTTGTTTATACTCTGAACATTTTTGCATCTGCTCTCATTGGTTTAGTACACGTTTTCTAATCGAACTCGTCTTCCATTTACAATTCATTGATGACGTTGCATGTGTGTGTCCTTGATTTACACCATAAAGAAATGCCTACAGACACGTACATGTATGTATGGAGCCATAAAAATGAGTTACATGAAAAACTTGGGTTGTTTTACCCCTTCCTATCCAAACCCATATGAGATTCAACTTTTTTCATTCTATAGTCAACTTGAAACAGTACTGAAGGGGATGAAGATTTAAAAAGAAAAAAAAAAAAAGTTTCTGAGAATTAACTGTGTGCGACCAAAAACATGGTCACCGTGTACGGACAGTCAATGATTAATATATTTTATAAATTCCACTTCTTCACTTTCAAAGTGAATTGAGAGGACAATGTCACATAAACCTAGTAAAAAGAAGACACAACAAGTATGAAAACCACTTAATATTAAGTACCAGTCAGCTGTTATAATTACCATGAGTTTGTGCATGCGAGCATAATGTGTTAGCAAATACTTTCGGCGAAGTGGTAATTGGGCAAAGCAGTAATTTGGCTAAGTGGTAATTTGGCTGGTTTCGATCCAACTCGGACCCAAACCAAGTCGGACCCAAGCCAACTCGGACCCAGGCCAACTCGGACCCACTACCAACTCGGACCCACGCCAACTCAATCGGACCCACTACCAACTCGGATCCACAACCAACTCGGACCCACTACCAACTCGGACCCATGCATGACCAACTCGGACTCATCTTTTACAATCATTTGACAGCGTTTACAATTATTTGACAATTTCATAAAGTTTGTCCACTTATCATCTGTTAATACAGTGATGTTTTAAGTATAAACAGTCACCATCCATCTGCACAACATACAGATTACAGGTACATGTACATGGATTCAATTCAGCCTCAGGACAGGCAGTAGCACTGCTATTGTGACAAGGTTTTTGCAGTCGCTTTGCCAACCAACCTCTTTGTCGACAACCACTTCAACGATTTGCTACTTCACCGAATAACCACTTCGCCTACTTGCCACTCCGTCGAATTACCACTTCGCTGAATGACCACTTCGCCGAATTGCACGCAAACGCACGTACTAACAAGTTTGTTATGGTGTAAATCAAGGATTTTCTAATGTTTCTCTTCCCTTTCCTTTGTTTATACTCTGAACATTTTTGCATCTGCTCTCATTGGTTTAGTACACGTTTTCTAATCAAACTCGTCTTCCATTTACAATTCACTGATGATGTTGCATGTGTGTGTCCTTGATTTACACCATAAAGAAATGCCTACAGACACGTACATGTATGTATGGAGCCATAAAAACGAGCTACATGAAAAACTTGGGGTTGTTTTACCCCTTCCTATCCAAACCCATATGAGATTCAACTTTTTTCATTCTATAGTCAACTTGAAACAGTACTGAAGGGGATGAAGATTTAAAAAGAAAAAAAAAAAGTTTCAGAATTAACTGTGTGCGACCAAAAACATGGTCACCGTGTACGGACAGTCAATGATTAATATATTTTATAAATTCCACTTCTGCACTTTCAAAGTGAATTGAGAGGACAATGTCACATAAACCTAGTAATAGAAGACACAACAAGTATGAAAACCACTTAATATTAAGTACCAGTCAGCTGTTATAATTACCATGAGTTTGTGCATGCGAGCATAATGTGTTAGCAAATACTTTCGGCGAAGTGGTAATTGGGCAAAGCAGTAATTTGGCTAAGTGGTAATTTGGCTGGTTTCGATCCAACTCGGACCCAAACCAAGTCGGACCCAAGCCAACTCGGACCCAGGCCAACTCGGACCCACTACCAACTCGGACCCACGCCAACTCAATCGGACCCACTACCAACTCGGATCCACAACCAACTCGGACCCACTACCAACTCAGACCCATGCATGACCAACTCGGACTTTTACAATTATTTGACAATTTCATAAAGTTTGTCCACTTATCATCTGTTAATACAGTGATGCTTTTAAGTATAAATTTTCATTGTAGTTGTCAGGTAAAATATCTGTATTGCAGCAGTTTGTCGTCGTAAAGCGCATTGAAATGCTTTTTTGAAATGCGCTTTAAAAGTGTAATTAATTATTTTTTATTATTTGTTTCCATTGAAACATATTGCGCTTTAACCAAAAGTAAAATTTAAATTAAAGTTTAACCAATTATTCATTTTCATATTTGACATCGTTCACGCCATCTTGCTCAATTTAACAGCAATTCATTTCATTTTTAATTCAAACCACATAAATTCAAAACAGATCTTCATAGAAAAATAAAATTGGAAAGTATGACATTGAAACATAAACACTTTCAAACATGACACGATTAATTCAATAAATATAAGTAAACATTATAAGTCATTCAATAAAATAAATAAAGTATAAAACAAAGTCTATTCTAATTTCTACATGTACATTTGTATATGTATTTAACAAAAAAAAACACATAAACACCATTGCATACACTGCAAGAAAAACGAAGGTTCCATATTGAACAAAAAAGGTTAATCAAAAAAGTAAGTTACACAGATTCGTTAAAAAACCCACAAAACTCAAAGCCAGCATGTGAACTAAAAAAAAGATCAACTTATTAAATACCCTACAATTATGAAATGTCAATCATCAAAAAGGAGTATTGGAGCTCTGGGAAGATTATCCTTCAAGGCCTTACAGGTACATTAGCTGTCTGTATGTTCGACTATGATGTTCCATGGGGGAAAAAAGTTAATCAAAAAAGTATAAAAAGTTAAACAGATTCGTAAAAAAAAAAAAAAATTAAACAAACTAACAATTACATGAAATGAAAGGTCTACATGTATTTCAAATTAATAACTTCCTCACTGAACAACATTTTTGTGACATATTGAAATCCTTCATTGAGTGTGATTTAATTTGGTTTATATTATTTGCAGGGTTGTAGTTGAGACCGCATAGTCCGAGACCGAGACGAGACCGAGACCAGCCCCTTCAAGGCGGAGACCAATATGGTCCGAGACCGAGACCGAGACCAAGACCGCTGATAATAAATAACAATAGTCGAAATAAAAAAACAAGACACGTTATTATAGTTGAAACTTGTAACCTTTCTATTCACAAAGATTACAGACCAAAATTTTGACCAGTGGCAGTGTTGACAAATTGATACATGACACGTTACTTGAGCAAAAAGTAGTTATACTTAAGAAATATAATGGGCTGCACCCAATCTTGACAAAAGTAAAAGTTAAAGGTAGATGTTTCATCTGTTATAGGAACTCGGATCCTAAACTCCACAGTCACCCCTTGGTTTCAGCTATGACTTCTAACGGATATTTAAAGATGCAATTTTAATTTTACATTGTGCCTCTTTTTTTCCTTAAATAAATATAGGACTTAACTTCTAACAAGACTTGTGTACATGTACTTGATTTTAAAAAATGGGAGCTAGAAAATGTTGAATCAATTTTTAAATTTCTGTCATAGAATGTGGACTTGTACATGTAGACCCACAAGTTGTGAGGTGGTAGCCAGTATGTGCCAGATATGGATTTTTAATTTTTTTCTGAACGGGATTTTAATTTTTGAGGAATAATGGGGTACTTCAAACTGAGCAGCCAGAAAATGGGGTCTCATCATACACTCTCATGGCAACAGTGAGTGGTAACTGGTAAGAGTGTGTGAGTTCAATGCTGGAAAATCAGGTTGAAATATTTACTTTTTCTTCAAAATACTGTCCCAAATTAAAGAGATCATTGTGTGGGGTCGAAAATATATAACTAATTTGAAGCACCTCATTTATTATCAGAATACAAAATGCAAGTGATTACGCCCACAGGGGTGGGCTAAACTACACAATCCCCAAAAATGGTTGACCCTTATTGTATAAATTGTTAGAAGTTTATACTTTGCTTTATGTGCCCGACTCAACAGATAAATGCCGAACTTGTTCCAAATCGTTCAGTGACTGGAACTGCTGCAGCTTTACATGTACTTTGGAGACTTTCCAACGTGCTGTCAAGTCCAAACCGACCGCGATATATAACAAGCTTGATCTACGGGCTAGCAAATGTTTTAACTATTAATTGTACTGAACGAAGTAAACAAAAAGTAATCGATCAAGCTGTAAAAGCTACATATTGCCGGTCTCAACCCGAGACGAGCCAAAATATCGAGACCAAAGGGGACCTAGCCCCATAAATGTGGCCTATTTACTGGACTGCCTCCGTAAACATAGGCCACACATCCACATGTACAAAAATCTTGATTTTCACATTTAGGCTTAGTTTGTAGGTTTTTTTGCTTTAGAAGCATACTCACCCTCTTTACAGGCTAATCAGAAAGTGCTGCCTTTTTCAGATGTCTAATTTTTGTGAAATTTCATTTTGAAATTTTGATACACAAACGTGTAAAAATGAATCTGGAAATTTCACGAAAAAATATACATCTGAAAAAGGCAGCACTTTCTGATTAGCCTATAAAGAAGGTGAGTATACTTCTAAAGCAAAAAAACCCTACAAACTAAGCCTAAATGTGAAAATCAAAATTTGGCTCCGTCGACACGATTTTTGTACATGTGGATGTGTGGCCTATGTTTACGGAGGCAGTCCAGTAAATAGGCCACATTTATGGGGCTAAAGGGGACCAAGACCGAGACCAAGACCGAGACCACAGCTTCCGAGACCGAGACCAAGACCAGCAAAAAGTGGTCTCGAGACCGGTCTCGAGACCTACAACACTGATTATTTGGCACACACCCACAAAAAGCAGATGAAAAAGGAAAACATTGCACATATCCATTTCTTCATGTGAATGAGTAATAAGAGTGCAAAATCAATGTAGTATAATCAAACAACAAAACTAAAAGCCCCATTCTGACCAATATAATTACCGAATATCTTCACTATATAAGCACTATTAAGATGACCTACATGTATAAATATAATCTCTGAAACTAATGATTAAGTCATTGTTGGGTCTGAGTTGGTCGTGCTTGGGTCCGAGTTGGTAGTGGGTCCGAGTTGGTCTTGGGTCCGAGTTGGTAGTGGGTCCGAGTTGGTAGTGGGTCCGAGTTGGCGTGGGTCCGACTTGGCATGGGTCCGACTTGGTTTGGGTCCGAGTTGACCTGATGCCATTTGGCTAAGTGGTTATTCGGCGAAGTGGTAATTCAGCAAAGTGACCAACACCCGTGACAAGCTCAACACACTAATCCAGATCAGCTAATCACTATGATCCATGCAGTGCAGAACATTAGCTGAGAGCCTTAGTCAAGACTTAAAACATCTTCATCAGACAATCCCACGCACCTTTTTCTATCTTCCAGTTCTTGTATCTTCAGGCGGTCATTTTCAGCAAAGAGCCTTAAGACATGATCTCTCTCCTGGAAGAGATAAACCTGCATGTCACTCAGGGCCTTCTGGAGCTCAGCGATTTCTTCCTCACGTTGGCGTAACTCCCATTCAAGCTTATGCTAAACAACAAAGAAAGGGACAAGTATTGTTGTGCTACATGTGACTATGATTTGCAAGTTTATGAGTTGTTCCATTGGAGTAGTGGTAATTTGTACATGTACACACACTGACATAATAATAACCAGAGAAATTTGAAAAAAAAAACAGTATTGTGATTGAAAACATTGGACTATTATTCAAAGTGTTTATTTGAAATCTTATATTTCCCTTTACTTCCTTAATCCAATAACACTTTTACAAAAAGTAACAAATGATGTCACTGTAAAACCTGGTCTTGAAATTGGTTTAAAAAAACCCATTTTCTAACATCTAAGGGGAAAAGATACTATAAAGACCAGGGACAACATTACCCATGCAACTACATGTACGGGGTCTTGACTGATTGATAGATTGCTGTCGTCTTGGATATGTGTCAGAGCAAAACGGGGAATTTTTGTGGGTCATTTTTGGCAGAGTTGGGACAAACTTGACCTATTTAGTTTGTGTACATGTAGGTTACTCAGTATGTAAAGAATGTAAAGAAGCGGAGGCTGATTCCAGAAGTAATGTCATAGATAGAGGGCAGGCTTTTGATTTTTTAAGGGAAATTTGGGGGTAAAATGATGATGACAGAACGGCGACAACAAGCTTCCCAAAAATAAAGATGGCAATCACCACGCAATGTACCGTGCGATCATGTACCATGAGTCTGAGCATGCATGGCGCGCTGAATCGCAAGGCCCAAACAGCACAGTAAATTTTAGTCCAAAATTTGGGACTCTCAATACTGTGTATGAGAGTCCCAAAACTTAAGGTATCCATATCGTGCAAAAGTTTGTGCTGCATAATAAAACCAGTGTGAATCAAATTTGCAAGCTTCTTACTCACTACAGTTTCTTCAATAATCCCCCAAACTTCTGCCTCGCAAAGTTGCTGTTGTGAGCATTGCATCACCAAAAATTCAGCTTTTAATTCTAATTTTGCAGAGAGTTATCGAAATCCTAGCCCGACTGCGTCTGGCCGTACAGTACTATCGCAAGCTCTGTAGTACGGCCAGACGCCCAATGCTTCCACAGAGACTGAATTTTTTTGGCCGCTGATGTAGCGATTTTGCTACAGATTTCGATCAAGATTATCTTTTCATCCAGGACACAAATTCCAAAGTTAAGGTTCTTAGTCGTAGAGCAACTCATACCTTTTCGAAAAAACGTTCTTTTGTCTCAATATTTTCATCCATCTGGCCAAAAGCCGACTTTTCAGTCATCATCTTCCACAAACATCGTCCCGAAAATGCTCCCCCATGCGATTTCAAAATGGCGGCCGCGCTGTAATGTATGCATTATGCGAGCGCGCTTGGGCAAGATAATGAATATGCATTATTTAGTTCATGACCTCGTGTTTGTATGGCCAGCCGCGCCGAGTGTCCGACAAACGTCATAAACTATGATGCATATTCATTACCTTGCCCAAGCGCACTCGCATAATGCATACATTACAGCGCGGCCGCCATTTTGAAATCGCAAGGGGGAGCATTTTCGGACGATATTTGTGGAAGATGACTGAAAAGTCGGCTTTTGGCCAGATGGATGAAAATATTGAGACAAAAGAACGTTTTTTTCGAAAAGGTATGAGTTGCTCTACGACTAAGAACCTTAACTTTGGAAATTTGTGTCCTGGATGAAAAGATAATCTCGATCGAAATCTGTAGCAAAATCGCTACATCAGCGGCCAAAAAAATTCAGCCTCTGTGGAAGCATTGGGCGTCTGGCCGTACTACAGAGCTTGCGATAGTACTGTACGGCAAGACGCAGTCGGGCTATCGAAATCCATACGTGAGACATCACGTTGATGTGTACTGCAATGCATTGTGCAAAAAGACTCCTCAGCTATAACATTATTATCGTGTAGATAAAACAGCGCCCTCTTGTTGATCTGAGTGAATGCAAAATGTTTCATTTTTTAACAGAGGGCGCTATGTTCATTTGGCCATCGAATAAAAAACAAGTTAGCTGCAAGGCTCTACATACACGGGGGTCAGACAAGACGACCGTTGAGACAACTCGACTCGGGACAAGTCACCCGTTGAGACAACTCGACCGTTGAGACAACTCGACCGTATGTGCGATAAATGGAAAGACAAGTCGACCGTTGAGACAAGTCGCCTCGCATGTTTTTGGGCCTAGTTTAGGGGATAGTACCGGGGATTTTGACGGCGGCTGATCGCCGTTTGGGAGTTATGACACATAATAGAGCAGAGCCGATATAGCACAGCATGATTGTCCTTGCACATCGTTCGAATTTGCCGGGCCTGTGCGCGCATCTCCGGTCAACCGCGTGGCCGTACCGTGCACGTGCCGTGCACGTTAGCTGTCTCAACGGTCGAGTTGTCCCGAGTCGAGTTGTCTCAACAGCCGACTTGTCCCGAGTCGAGTTGTCTCAACGGTCGACTTGTCTGACATTCCATACACCTACCCAGAATACATTGGGAATCAAACACACATTTCCAGAGCATGGGGATTGACGTTGATGCATGGTTTTTGAACTGCCAAAAACTTGCCTTAAAATTGGATTTAAGGTCTCAAATTTCGCAGGTGACATGCTTGCAACTATATCATTTTAATGTATGTGTTGTGTGGGCATTAATTAGCCTGCCTAATGGTGAGTAAAAAAACGTCAGTAGTAATTTTGCACGTTTTTATGCACTCACGGTCATGACGGTCCCAGTCTGAGTAAATTTGTGAGTAGCCTACCAAAAAGTACCAAATACATTCATTCAAATATGACTGTCTACCCAAAAGTCGGCACAATTGCAGAATACCCCGCCACTCGATCTATCCACCTCGTAGCCGGCTACGAGGTCACGGCTGATTGACCTCAATAAACATTCTCAGCGCTACTTGTATGTACTATGCCGAGTATGCGTCATGCTCCAGGGCGGAGTCCATTGCACTCCCACTTTGTGACCGCGTAGCCACCAACAGGGTAGTTGGTTTGGACTTAAAATTTTTTCAGCAACTCCCATTCCTTTTGTGTTGCTTCGTTCTCAAGCATATTCAAGGGACTCCCACTCCGTAGCCTCGTAGCCGCCAACAGGGTGGTTGGTTTGGACTTAGAATTTTGTTCAGCAACTCTCATTCATTTTGTGTTGCTTCATTCTCAAATAATGGACCCCCACTCAGGGTAATCCTTACTTTTAGGACACCTCTATTTTTTACGAGTTCTGTTCAAAACTGACTTTTGCAGATGTCTGTCCAGTACCAAAGTGACTTTTGCAGGCTAAAGCAGTCTTTAGAAGTCAAGAAGGTGTCATTGCCAATTGTTCAGATGTGCCAAGAAGTATCAGAATGTCAATTTTGAGTGTCATTTAGTCAACTGTTTTGGTGAGTCTTTCCCTTCCTATATAGGAACGGGGTCCTAAAAGTAAGGATTACCCCACTCAGTATCCGCGTAGCTGGCAATGGACTTGAATTGTTTCTTTTGCAGTGATTCCAACCTCGTAGCCAGTGATTTTAGGGGTGTATTTCCGAGTGGCGGGGTATTCTGCAATTACTCCCAAAAGTCTTCTTTTGATTGTAAAGGTGATTTTTTTAGCAATGAAAAACATTTTTGACTCTAATTTGATCAAAACAAAACAGGGGCCCTCCACTACACGATCGCCGAATTTCCAGTCGGCCAGTCTCCTCCATAGGCCTACACAATCGCGGAAGTGGCGTCAGGTTGTAACTTGCAACATTCTTTCCTAACTAGACATCTAAAAGTGTGGAATTTAACATTTCTAAAAAGTGGTTCAGAAGTATTTACACATCTTATTCTAATCTTAGGAAATGTTATCCTACCTGCTCTGTGGTAAAATGTTCTTAGCAGACATGTTTAACCGGTGACTTTAGGGCGCACTTCCGTTTAAATTTTGCGCTTATCTTATAAAGTTTAGAAGGTGCCGAGACGAGGTGCCGATGATGATGCGAAGTAAGGATTGCAAAACAAGTCGTCTGGGGGCCACTTTTTCCTGTCTGTCGACGATAGGACAAAGGGGGCGCTCTTCGCAGGCTGTTCTTTCAGGTCTTTCGGAACCAGTGATCTCCATAATTATGGAGATCAAGTTCGGAACGGCGCAGCCATGCCACAATAACGGTGTCTTCTGCAACTCTGTGCTGTTATTCTATAAAATCAAAGCATTTAGGGTGTTTTTTTCCTCACAGAAGATCCCTAAAAGTTAAGTGACTACACTACCTTAATTTCTGTTGGTTTAGCAATACGATTATTATCGATATGGCGTTTTATGGCATATCAAACATGAATTTAAATACAATTGCATTTGGAAATGTCCTAATAGTCATGCCCTTACATCGTTAGGGTGTAGGTCACTATAGTAGTATGCTACCATATCAAAATATTAAAATGAAAATAGAGCAATCAAATATCTAGACGGATATATTTCGGTAATTTTCGTTACGGTAACTCGCGCTAGTACAGTTAGTCCGCGCATTATTTTGGTGCAAGTTAGACCTAACACATAAGAAACTATTCAAACAAAAATAACTCTTTGTTCGTAGATTATAAACCTTTTCCTGCATCTAAAAACAAAAACTTACAATACCAATTGCACTTTTTGCAAGTGAAAACGAGATGTCTAAAGTAATATAAAATCCACAATTTTAGCCCCACCCCACCCCAAACACAACGGGTTGGGTCAGGGTGACCAATATAGGGTCCGTTGCTCTTCGAGGACGTGTTAACACTGTATAATCAGTATGTTACTTCCTGAGTGAAAGTTGGAAAATATCACTCGGGTGGGACTCAAACCCGCGTCCTCCCGCTTACAATAGTGCAGACGAAATTAATACCAATCAACCACCGAGCTTGCGGGACTGCTGGTCGTGGGGGGGGGGGGGGTCCGCTCATAAGTCCAACGCCTCATAAGACCGACAAAATGGTATCCCCCAACCAAATAAAGGCCCAAGTCCGACGCCTCATAGGTCCGACGCCTCATCATGGCTCCGACGACACCTCAAAGCTCCGACACTCAGTACGCTTCGTTTTTCCGACGTCGAACTTATGAGGCGTCGGACCTATGAGGCGGAATTGTATGCCTCATATGAGGCGTCGGTCCTATGAGGAGTCCGGACTTACGGCCCCGGTCGGGGAAGGGCAAAACCTATTGATTTACATCACCCCCGACGCAAGTTCCATCTCATGAATAGTCAAGTTATTTGCGGTACCATAACCGCCGCTACATGTTCATCGGATTAGAACCAGCCAACCGATTTCACAAGCTCCGTACTGGAAAGTACGAAGTCGTGGTTCGAGTCCCATGCCCCACCCAAGTGATGTTTTCCAATAACTTTCACTCGTAGGAAACATACTGAGTATAGGCTAACAGTGTTTATACGTTGTTTATACGTCGGCGCAGGGCAAAACCTTTAATGATTCACCGTAGGATTGGGACAACTTTCGGCCGGCCTCGAATAAGCTCCCACGAAGAACCGAGTTAAGTCCGAGGGATATGATACCGAAGTTCATCAGCGGGATTGTCTGATTTTTACAGAACACGGATAGTGCCACTCAATGAGTGTGAATATTTTTTGTACAGTGGCCGCCACTTGTGGCGGCCGCCAGATAATAAGTGGCGGCCGCTGTACAAAAAAAATATTTACACACGTACAGAAAAAAAATTATATTCACACTTTTTTATGTTGCGGCCGCCAGATAATAAGTGGCAGCCGCTACATAAAAAGTGTGAATAAAATTAATAACTAAAAATTAAATCATTATGACTTATGTGGCGGCATTATGACTTATGTGGCGGCCGCCACTTATTATCTGGCGGCGTAATAAGTGGC